TGTGGACATAAATTTTAAATTCATTTGGGTAAAGTACCAAGGAGTGTGATTGCTAGATCATATGATAAGAGCATGTTTAATTTTGAAAGAACAAAGGGCATTCCCTCTAGCAGTGACTGAGAGTTCCTATCACACCATATCCTCACCAGCATTTGGTGTTGTCATTGTTCTAGATTTTCACTATTCTAATAGGTATGACTTCTTTTTTTTTTTTAAACAGTCAAATTTAGTGGTGGGGAGATATGTTTGTTTGTTTATTTGTTTGTTTTTTAGAAAAAAATCTCACTCTATCACGTTGGGGAGAGTGCCATAGCATTATAGTTCACAGCAACCTCAAACTCTTAGGCTCAAGTGATACTCTTGCCTCATCCTCCCCAGTAGCTGCAACTATAGGCACCCGCCACAATGCCTGGCTAATTTTTCTATTTTTAGGAGAGAAAATAGGGGTCTCACTATGTCTCACTCTGTCACTCTAGTAGAGTACTATGACATCATAGCTCACAGCAACCCCAAACTCTTTTTTTTTTTTTTCTGGCCAGGGCTGGGTTTGAACCTGCCACCTCTGGCATATGGACCTGGCGCCCTACCCTTTTGAGCCACCTGCAACCCCAAACTCTTAGGCTCAAGTGATCCTCCTGCCTCAGCCTATTTTTAGTACCGACAGGGTCTGGATCTTGCTCAGGCTGGTCTCGAACTCCTGAGCTCAGGTGACCTGCCTCAGTCTTCTGGAGTGCTGGGATTTCAGGCGTGAGCCACTGTGCCCAGTTGAGAGATACATTTTTAAAAGATCACTCCTGCAGCTGGCTAGAGAATGGAGGAGACTTATTAATAGGCTCTCACAGAGTCAAGTATAGCAGCAGAGAGGAAGCTAAGCAGATGGAATTTCTGAGCATTTTTTAGAATAGAAAGGACCTTCTGATATGTAAGTGTGAGTGTGAACAAAAGTCAGAATGTGGAGTGGTTCCGAGTTCTCTGTGTTATGCACCTGAGCAAATGGATGGCATAATGAGAGGAACAGTTCCTGGGGGATTTGGGTGCTCACTCTTGGACACTTCAAGACAGAGTACATGTAAGACACTGATGTGCCATGGACACAGTCACATGGGCAGCTGGGTCTGGACAGACCTTAGGACAAGTCCTGAGCTGTCAGCTGACTTTTATTAAAGTTGTCCTGGGATGGTCCTCTACCCTGGCAGAAGATTTGGAACACACTGATGCCAAGACCCATATTGGTCCACTGAATCAGAATGAGGCCATGTGGCCTAGTCATGGGCCTGTTTTTTGGAGTCCCCTCCCCAGCTGATTCTGATATAGCACTGAGCCCCACAGATTTGAATTCTGAGAAGTTAACATTCAGAGGTTGTAGAGAGAGGAGGCCGGCTGGCAGGATGGCTCATACCTGTAATCCCAGCACTCTGGGAGGCCAAAAGGGGTGGATTTCCTGAGCTCATGAGTTTGAGACTCGCCTAAGCAAGAGTGAGAGCCTGTCTCTAAAAATAGAAAAACCAACCGGGCATTGTAGCAGGTGCCTGTAGTCCTAGCTACTCAGAAGGCTAAGGCAGGAGGACTGCTTGAGCCCAGGAGTCTGAGGTTGTTGTTGGCTATGACACTATGGCAGTCCACCCCGGCGGATGGAGTCAGACTCTGTCCACTCTCCCAAAAAGGAGAGAAAGGAGGCCCTAATAAGACTGTGGGGTGGCCAGACGGGAGACCAGAAGAATGTGGTGTTAGCATCCAGTGCTGAACTCTGGGCGGGCCTGCAGAGCCACACGGCTGGCATTGCACTGCCTCTGACCTCCAGCCCACATGATCAAACCCTTCATTCTTTTCAGGGGTTCTCAGGCTGCTTGAGTCAAAATATACTGCAAGACTGTTGGTTAGAAAGTTACTTTGTGAATAAAGTATCAAGATAAGGAGTTAGATGATCTTCAGCGGTTTTCTTGGCTAAGCATTTTCATGTGTTTTGGTTCTCTGGGGAAGCTCCTCCAAGCAGATGGCAAATCTGGATTGTGCAAGGCAGGATACCTCCCTGGTGATGGTTCATGGCTGGTCACGACTCTGTACTCTCAGTCTTTATTCAGAGAGTAGTCCGATTAGTGATTTCCACTATTACATTAAAATCATATAATTTATAGATTCTAAACATCCTAAGTAAAACCTGGAAGGAATTATTTTTTGGTAGAAATTGCTAAGCTGATTCCAAGATTTACATGGAAATGAAAAAACCTGAGAGGAGCCAAGATAATCTTGGGGAGGAAAAAGGACTATATGAGGGTTCAACTTGTCAGGTATCAAGACTAATGATAAAGCAACAGGAATTACTAAGAATTAGCCAAGTGATACCATCTGGTGTTGAGTCAAGGATAAACAAACAAAACACAGGACTAAGATGGGAAATCCACAAACAGACCTCCATGGGTGGGTGTGACACGCCTGGGCTCTGACAGGGCAGTGCTGTAAGGCACTAAGGAAGGCTGTACATGAGGGTGCCCAGCTGGTGGGGTTTGACCCCCACTTCACAGCACGCACAAGATAAACTCTAGTGAGCTGTATATCCCATATCAAAACAAAACAGTAAAGACTGGAGGAGGCATGGAAAGAAAGTCTTGGCTCGGCGCCTGTGGCTCAAATGGCTAAGGCGCCAGCCACGTACACCTAAGATGGCGGGTTCAAATCCAGCCTGGGCC